TCTCTCAAATAAATAAATAAAATCTTTAAAAGAAAAAAAAAGAAAATTAGTAATTAAAACAAAAGCATTCATCTAACATCTAAGTAAGACCTTTTACTTTACTCTTCTACAGTGTAGTTCAAATGAAGTCACGGCCAAATATGCTAATGTTACTTTGAAGTTTGCTGATACAGTAAAACTTCGCCATATCGCAGCACATGTGGATCCAGAAAATTGTCAGGTTAATTAAAGGATCCAGCATAACAGGAGTTCTAGAGTTTCTGTTACCCATTCCAAATTTTCCTTCTCCTCTCTATAGTTTGGTGCCACCTGGTGGCAGTTGTCTGCTTCAGCGTAAACATGGAGGGGGATGATCTGATCTGAGTCCTGCTGTAGGACTGGGCTGTACGACAACAGCAGTAGCAATTTAAACACTTGCTTCTGACATCAGGTCCAGGGATTGGGCTAGGAGCATACTAGGACCTTACTTTCCTAGCATACTTGGACTTACTTTCCTTCTCCCAGCTTTCTGACAGAGTTCCCTTTCCTGGCTTTGTGCTCTCTCACCTTGGGGCTGAGGGGAGAGTAGAGTCAATTGCCAATCCTACTATATTTGAATTCCCATTATATTGGGGGCTGTTACGATGTTTGTTTCATCAGCTGTATTCATGAAAGAAACTAACGCCAGTCATATTTTCACATGAAGTTTAATAGAATATTATGGGAACATACTGCCATGGACAGTTTGTGATGACTTAGATAAGGTGCTTATTTTTATTTGATCTAGGATTTATTTATCCTTAATTTGGGAATTCATGCCACATTGTTTTGCTGGAAAATGTTCTTAAACCCGATACACTAGAGATGATTTGTTCTTATAACAGAGAACGGAGACCAACCTGGGCTGAAGAAAGAAGATTAAATGCCGAAACATTTGGAATCCCACTTCGTCCAAACCGTGGCCGTGGCGGGTACAGAGGCAGAGGAGGTCTTGGTTTCCGTGGTGGCCGAGGGCGTGGTGGTGGCAGAGGTGGTGCCTTCACCACCCCTCGAGGATTTCGTGGTGGATTCAGAGGAGGTCGTGGGGGCAGGGAGTTTGCAGATTTTGAGTACAGGGTAAGTATTACATGCTTTGGGGTTGGCATGCAGTTTTATGAAATTCAAAATGGTTTTATTTTAAGTGAATATTTTTAAGACATTTGTATAACTTCCAATTTGTTCAGTGGGGGATTAGGTTGTTTATATAATTTTAAGGAGCAGTAACTTCTTGGCTGATGAGTCCAAAGTTTTTAACTGTTTTCTTTTCAATTGGAGGAAGTAAGAGAGAGAAATGAGATTGGGGTGGGAGGGGTCTTTTTTATTGTAGAACCATAGTTTTAGATTTCATGGACTAGTAAAATTTCCCCCAAAAATGTATTAGAAATTGATTTAGGGTGTTTTTTTGTTCTTTCTTCCTTCCTCTTCTTTTTTTTGGAGGCATGGGGGATTACTAAAGTATTTATACCAAAAAAGACTATATCATATCACCTTTATTTTATATTACAAAGTGTGTTTTCACACCAAAAGAGTCTAGGAAGGACATACTCCAGAATGGAAAGCATCCATAGCAGCCAACATTTATATAGTACTTTGCATGTATTAGGCATTGTTCTAAATGTTTTTCACATACTAACTCACTTAAATCTAACGTAACTGTATAAGATAGTTCTGTTCTTATCACCATTTTACAGAAGAAGAAATAGGTATAGAGATATTAAATACCTTGTCCAAGGTCAGCTAGTAAGTGATGCTGCAGGTTCGTGAGCCTAGTAAGTTTGTTCCTGAGTCAGTGCTCTTAATTTACTTTTATGGAAAATTCAACTGCATTTTCCCTGGTTTTCTTATTTTACCTTGGTCTTGAAAATATTGTGATATATTGGCATTTGAGAACTGCTGCTAGAAAACTATGTAGCTCTGTATAGTTTGTTTATATGTGTAGTTAATTTATTGAAAGGAGTCGGTAGATGAAGTCAGTGTCACTCTCCTAGTTTATTGATTTTTAGGTTCAGTAGAGAGGAAGGCTATATAATCACAGAAAGGATCAAAATCCTCTTGTAAAGAGATCTACTAGAACAAAGGGCAGCTGGAAACAAGAAGACCTGCTGGCAGGAATTTTATTGTCCGTTATTTGAAACTGGCCATTGTTGAGATCCCTCTTGAAGGATTGATGTTAGTGGCTTTGGGGTCTGGTCTGTTAATTCTGACACCTCTGATATTGTATCATCCAGCCAAGACTGCTGAAAATTAGCCTCAAGTCATTAACTCAGGCTATTCAGCCGCCGTGGCCTGGTGCAGCAGCTACAGGACTTGTAACTTGCAAAATTGCCATTCTAGCTGGGAGAGCCCATTGCTTGTCACTATTATTGTTCTTATTACTGCCCTTGCCAGTGGGGCCTTTTGCTAATAGAATTCAAATATTTGCCCTTAACCCTTCTGAAGTATTTGACACTGATAACTGCCCACCCAACTTGGAATCTTTCTTTCTAGTTTTTTAAAAATACTGTTATTTGGGGTGTTTTTGTTTTGTTTTTCTTTTTAAAAATGACACATGTTCCAGGGCACCTGGCTGGCTCAGTTGGTAGAGTATGTGACCCTTGATCTTGGGGTTGTGACTTTGAGCCCCATGTTGGGTGTAGAGATTACTTAAAATCTTTTTTTATATATAAAATCTTTAAAAATAATAATACATGTTCCTCAACACAGCCTGTAAACACTTCATGATCTGCTTCTCCAGTTCAGAAGTCTTGTACTGGCTCTTGTCCTTTTTGCCATTGGGACTCCCCTTTTCTATATTCAGTCTGCTGCAGAAATGTGGACCACCTTCTTGCTCTTGTTCAGTGCCAAGCTTATTCTTATCTCAGGACCTTTTCACCCATTCCTTCTGCCTAGAATGTTCGGTTTGCTCCTTAAAAGCTTTCATGCTCGGGGTGCCTGGGTGGCTCAGTCAGTTACGCATCTGCCTTAGGCTCTGGTCATGATCCCAGAGTCCACGGGATCAAGTCCAACTTTGGGCTCCTCACTCTGTGGGGAGTCGGCTTCTCCCTCTGACCCTCCCCCCTCTCTGACCCTCCCCCTCCCACTCTCTATAAATAAATAAATAAATAATAAATTAATAAATAAAAAATAAAGCTTTCATGCTGATGTCTGTGCTTGCTCTTCTTCCCCCTTCTTTCTTGTCCCTACCTCTCTCCCCTCCCCTTTCTTTCCTCCTCCCTTTTGTGAGCTTGTTGATACGTAGCTTTTAATCAGTTTTCAGCTTGGACCTTGTGTGCTTCCACCTACATTTCTCCATCTTTATCTGCTTTATGTTCTTTGACTAACTTAAACTTGCCCTTCTTCAAAATGACCTTACCATCTTCTTGCCTTCCCACCACCCCAGCATCCACACTGGCTGACAGTGTGGCGTAGCCCCTTTCCACATTACCACATTTGTTCCTATTCAATGTCCCTGCCCACTACCATAATAACCCACTGATTGGTCTGCAGACATTCAGTCTCTTTACCTCACTTCAGGCATATCAGCTACCTATTGAAGAACCTATGACAGCTCCTTGTTGAAGACCACATTGACTCAACTTGGCTTGAGAAAAAGTACATTTAAATTAAACTTGGATCCTGATGAGAATTCTAGTGATTGTTGCTAGTGTGACTTCAGTTGAGTCGTTAAACCTTTCAGGCCCTCAGTTTTTACATTTTTGGAAACAAATCAAATACACATTTTATCAAATACACATTTTAAAGATCATTAAAGTCTCAGAGTTGGGAAGCATCTGAGAGGTCTGAGCTCCTGGCCAAGCCGTGAGTCCTGACGTATCCCTTATAGGGGCTGGCAGCTTACTTTTACTAAGAGCATCCATCCCACCCTAGGGATGGTCTAATTAGTAGGATTTCACAATGTGGGTGAAGATCTTTTCCTCTATATCTTCAGTCTTAGTTTAACTCTACCCTTGTAAACAAACAGAATATACATACTCCTCTTCATGATAATTCTGCAGATATTTGACAAAACCGCGGTCATATTGTCTGCAAGATTGGACTGTTATTTCCCATTACCTGACAGTCATCAGTAAGCCTTTGAATAACTGCCGAGTGCATGGTACATGCATTTATTTATTAATTCAGACTTTATGAAGCTCTGTCTCACTGTTCAGTCATTTTGAGCCTCCAGTGAAAACCCCTATCCCACACATTGCAGAATTAGAGTGCATTGTAGAGGTTGTCTGCATGAGTCTTTACCCACATTAGTGTATCCTTGACAGATAGTCTAGCCTCTGCTTGGGTGTTTCAAGGCGTCATAGATTGACTGGGCCCTAGATATTGCCCTGGTGGTAAGAAGGTTCTAATGTGACATTGTACTGCCTGCTCTTCTTACTCTGTGCGGATCCCACTGCTATTTCCAGCCCCATTTCTCATTGCCCTTTAAGCTGTCTGGTTCAAGCAAGTTGACTCATGGTCAATGCTTATATGCACTGTCCTTGATTCCGACTTTGACCTCATTTGTTGACCAGACATATTGCATTCTTCATATATGGCATGCACTGTGCTGGATATTAGTGGTAAGCAAAACGGATGCAGTCCTAGCCTTCTTGGTGTTTTAGTCCAGTGGAGAGATAGACCCAGCTAAAAGTCAAGGGGTTCCCTTTCACACCCTTCACAGTCTTGTCCAAGGTTTGCTCTGTCCTTGGAAACTTCTCTTTCCTACACTGATTTCTTCTTTTTCTGACTCCTGTGGTATCTGCTTTCATCACACATTTTAAATACACTCACGTTCCGTATTTCATGTGTTTTGTTCTGCATTTCCAGCTAGATATGAGCCTCTTGGCATTAGTGAACGTGTATTTTACTTTCATTTCCTCCAGTGGACATGGAACCATAGTGGGCTTGAAGTAAGTGCTCAGCATTTTGATTAGGAATACACTACTTCAGCCTTCAATAAGGCAGAAGGTCCATCAGTGTGGCTACTCCTTCCTTGTCCATTCCAAAGTTAAATGACCCTGAAGTCTGGCACTAGAGCCCTGACCTCCGCATTCTACGCCTTCTAAATCATACCACCTGGTACCTTTAAAGGCGGAAAGAGTGAGTGATCACTATTACATGAAGGAAATTTACCTTCAAGGATTAAACTCCCTTCTAAAACTACATCTAATACTTCTTAGAGAAATGGAGGTCATTGGCATTTACAGCAGCCTTCATGTAATGGGTTGGCTTTCTTCTTTGTGTTCTGTTGGCATGAATCACTAGTTTTGAGGTGAGCATAAGCAAGTCTGGTTGTTTAATGAAAACATGGGCAAAGTGGGATTATAGATTTTTAGAACTCCTCAAAAATACCAGCTGAACTATAAGCTCTCTCTCACCCACCCCCAATAGATCGGAAACCAAGGACCCAGAGAAGTTAACTCTCTTGATCGGGGTACAAGCTAGTAAAGCCAAAGCTTAGTCTGTTTGACTTCTCGCCTAGTTTTCCTTAAGGATAATGTTAGAAAGATAAATTTGTGTTAAGCTTGGTCCTGTGGCGCTTTGTGGGGTTGGGGGATGAGGAGATCAGGTTGGGTTTGTAATAAGAGTATAGTCAGCTCCTATTTTATATGCTGCTGCTAAGGAGGTTAAATAAAACACCATGGTAGGTGAGACAGATTACCTTCCATTTGAGTCTGTTTTTTCAGATAGGGTCCAGAAACAAAGAGGTAACCAAAATGACTCAGCATGGTACTCTCTTTCCCTTTCCCCCTTTATTTTCTCCTCTCTTTCCCTCTACTTCTCTGTATCCCTCTCCCCCTCCCTTCTCTCTCTCTTTCTTTCTTGCTTTCTTTTTTTTACCTTTCAGAAAACCACAGCTTTTGGACCCTAAAGTAGGTCTGGATTGATCGTACAACTTTCTGAAAGGTAAAAAAAAAAAAAAAAAAAAATCGGGGCATGTGAAGGTTGGCTTCGGTGGGGAACTGTGGGGTGGGATTATCTTCAGTTTATTTCTTTCTGCACCAGTTCACACCATGCCACATGTATCCAGTTTAATGGCATTGTACAAATGGTTTGGTGCTGTATACACAGATAAAGTTAAGTCTTTAACATAGGAAATAATATATTTCTAACAGTCAGGATGAGAATCAGCAATAAAAATCAGGAATGTGATAACAACTAGTCCTGAGGAAAACAGTAGCCCCTGGCTCTGGTGTTATGTACAGGACTTTTGATTAGGTTTAGTATCACTGGAAAGCTAGAGGCTCCTTGAGATTTTTGTTTTTTCCCTGGTTACTTTTTAAAAATTACTACCCAGTCAACTCTGATTTTCAGAACTTATTTTGAATTTAAAAGTTATCCTTTTAAAATGAATTTCTAAATCATTGCTTTCTCCTGGCATGAAACTTTGGAGAGAAATGTTATTTTACTGTCTGGATATTTTATTGCTTAGTAAAGACATCAAAGACTTCAGGATTTTATTAATCCTTTTCCAGGGTATGTTGTCAATTGTATTTGATGAACTTGACTGCTAAGTTGAGGTTTAAATCATTGTGTTTAAAAATTATTAAGATGCAACCAAAGATAGTGAGGTATGCCTGTATCTTAGGGGCCTTCTTGCTGGAACCAGCCCACACCACACCACTGCTATAACCTCTAGTAACTGGAAAATGCAGTTAACAAATAATGAGCTACTGCTGGGTGTGGAAGTCATAAAATGTTTCCTGGAAATTAGTGAAATGGATTTATACATGAAAGGAAAAGGAGGGTATATTTGAAAGTAATGGGAAATATACTTAAGTAAATTAGAAGTACTTCATAAACCGATAATTTGAAACATGAGCTAATTTTTTTTTTCCTTTTTAGAAAGACAACAAAGTTGCTGCATAGTCTACAAACAAGTCTTTGAAAATAGGTGAATTTCTAGCTCTTCATGGTCCTGAGAATTGGTTTCAGTCTTTGCGAAGAATGAAGAAGTGAATTTGCTGTATATTTGTCACCAGCACTGGGTTTTTGTTTGTTTGTTTGTTTGTTTTTCTGCTTAATTTCAAAGATACAATGCAGTTACTTTTGGGGGGGAAGGCTCATCTTAAAAAATGAGCATTAAATATATTTGGAATAGCAGAAGGTTAAGTAATTTCTTATGTATAGTTAAACTACAGCAGTACTTCAATGGGACTTATAAGTATTTTTTCATCACTGAAAGGATTTTTCTTATCACTAAATTGTATTTGGCAATTATTGTAAGTTGCCTGCAGATAGGGCCGTGATACTGTGTTTTGAGCCACAGAAGGTTGTGTGTGTATGTGTGTGTGTGTGTGCGCGCGCGCGCGTGTGTGTCTGTATCTTTCTTTCTTTCTTTCTTTTTGGAAATCCTGTAATATCCCCTTTGAGGTAGCTTATTTGGTCAATTAATTAGGGTGCTGGATGGTAGAGAATTTTGTCAGTCAACTATGTACACACAGTAAATACTGTTTCTTAGGCAAAGGTAACTTTTTTATATAGTTGTAAAATTCCATTATATTCCTTTGCCAAAGAAACATTAAGAACTTTGTATAGCTGTATAAAAAGCAACTAATTTTTTAAAGAATAAACATTTTAAAGTCAGCAAACATACTGTGTCCTTGCAGAAGTTGATGTGCTGAGGAGCAGAGCTGTGGGTGGTGGGTCTTTTTTCATAGCTTTCCAGGCTTGAGATTTTTGATTTTGATTTTTTTTTTTTTTAATGTTTGGAACATAAATGAAGATTTGATACATTCTTCCATTATCTGAAAAGGATAAATTACTCATACTCATTGTAAGAGCTTCATTTTGTAACAAATGGCATATCACAGGATTTGTCCAAATAATAAATATTTTCAGTATATGAATGTAAATAATCATAGATAAGAATATACTTAGCTGTATTTTCAAATAAGCACCCTCCCCTTTTTTAAGATAATAAAACTGGGCATCGATTAACCTGTTCTTCCTGATATGCCTGGAATTTTGTCGTGATACCTTGATTCATTCCATTATATTTCAAGAGAATTCAGAGTGCTAGAAATTATTTTGGCAACCTATAAGATACCCTAACACTGGTCCTTGGGCCCATGGCCCACAAATGACTCAGTAATAGAGTTCATTGCTAATTATAAATCACTAGTAAATCTTTTTGATATTTTAAGCTAGGGTGGAAAAAAAAAATCTGGCCACTTTTGTGTTTTTATGAAGGCCATGGAATAAAGGGATCCAAAGATTTAAATATTTTTATCTATTTTGATTTTTGTTAACTTTCTCCTTAAAGTATTCAATAGTGATAAAGATGTGGAAAACTGCACTGTAGGAGAATTGGAATATTTAAAGATGGTTGATATTTTTAATTTTAATTTTATATCTTTTGTATAGCTCTACAAGGAAATGTTTTGTAGTTTGGTTTCGTTTAAGGTCCAGTACTTGGCAGCCGTAGTTTAGATAATGTTGCTTAATACTGTTTGCTTGCATGTTAACAACAAAACCTTTTGGAGGACCCACAAATCATGATATTGAACACATTTCCGAAGCATTCTGAACATCAAAGCAAGTGCTATGATAATACCTATGTAGACTGTTTGAGATGTCCCGGGCCAGTTTCAAGAAAAGCTGTAAATACCAGTTCTACGTGCTCTGAAAGTATGAATTCACGTGTTTTCCAAGCCCTCTGGGTCACTGACTAAGGCATTTGGTGCCCCAATAATAACTGGCAGCATGGCATACCTGCAGTGCACCTTACAATATTAAAGCAAGGTTTTTATTCTAAGACAGAATAAAACTGTTAAATAAAAAATGTTCGTCAAAGTTCTTTCTCTTTAAATAGTAGTATCATTTTACCATAGAAAGAAACATAATGAAAGACCTTTTAAGTATAGGAATGGAATTATGGTTATGTTTATATTCCCTAAAGTAACTAATTTCTAACATTTTTCCTAAGATTGATTGATTGTTGTAGGTGCTTAGGAAGCTGGGAGCCCCTTTGTCCCCCACTAGGGTGCTTTGCAGTTGGCATCTTGAGGAGACTGAGCCAGCCACGCACAGGCCAAGCTGGAAGCCTCAGGCTAAAATGCTCCCTCTGTGGGCAGGCAGGTGTGAAAGAGGAGAGAGGGAAGGGCTGACTCCTAACTTCATTTGTTGGATTAGACTGTGTCTCCCCCTGAAAAAGCAGGACTTAGCAGGGGGTAGGGAGAGGGGTCAGGAATGTTAATCCAGCTCAATGGCTCTTAATCAGGGTTTGAACTGACATCCCGAGAGCATTTAGGAGTATGAGGGGATGTGTGTTGGTTGTCACAGTGACTAGGGACCACCACTGGCATTTAAGAGTAAGGGCCAGGGTGGCAAAATTGTACACTATGCTCGATGGTGCCACATCATCGGTTATCCAGCCCAAAGTACAATGGTGACCCTTCCAATTTCAGAAATACTAGCTGAGGTTCCTCTACAAGAAAAGACGAGTGGGGAATTAATTTAAAAACATTTACTGAAGAAATTGTCTACATGGAATATGAAAGGACAAGGTATAAAGGGACCTTACTTCCCGTGGCACAGTCAGTGTTTTGGAAAGCCATTATCACAGGAATTACCACTTCATCCCAGTCTCTCTCAAGAAATGGTTCACAAATCTCTTCTCCAGATCTGCTCAGGAGCATTTGTAAAGTACAAATTCCCATACCCCACACCTCGAGTCCGAGTCTGAAGTTCTGTAGAGGAGCCCGTAGGTAGTTCTGATAAGCAGGTTTAGGAAAACAGCACAGCCAGCTCACCTCATCTAGCCCCCTCCTTAAAGGGCCTTGGTAAAGTTTTCACTGGATTATTTTTCCATTTCCCCATCCTTCCAAATCCAGTACATCCAGGTTGTGACGGCTGCAGGAAAAGGGAGAGAGGACTAAGAGGAGGGAGGGGGCATTTCTGCAGGACAGAATCCAGGGGAAAACGGAGACAGAGATTCAAATTTCCTACGGGTTTGGCTGATTTGAGTACTAAGACTTAGTTTTTTATTCCTAGCATACAGGAAAAGGGTGTGTGTTGTTTCTGTGTCTCAGTTTTACATGGCCGTTGTCCCTGTCTCTGTGGGTTATCTGTCTGAAAGAGAAGCTGCACCTTCTGCACGGCTGTGTGCTAATCACTTGGGTCTAATCATGCCCAGATGCAGTGTGGTGGGATGCCCTGGCCCTATTAGTTCAGAGCTGGTTTAAACTGTGACTGTTGGGAGAGATTATGGGATAAAGTAATCAAAGTGAGTGAGCTCTCTTAGGAGCCCACATGTGCATGTCACTTTACCCGTTTCGACTGTATTTTTATTTTTTATTTTTTAAAGATTTTATTTATTTGACAGCGAGAGCAGGAACACAAGCAGGGGGAGTGGGAGAGAGAGAAGCAGGCTTCTGGCCGAGCAGGGAGCCCGATGCGGGGCTCGATCCCAGGACCCTGGGATCATGACCTGAGCCGAAGGCAGACGCCCAACGACTGAGCCACCCAGGCGCCCCTCAACTGTGTTTTTAAAAGATAAGTATTAATACAGTTGGCAGTCAATTTAGGGAAGTAAAGTAGCACTGTTAATCTCAGAATCTGAAGATGCTAAATTGGGGTTTGCTCAGAGCAGGCTGCCGTAGCTCCTCCCAAGAAGGAGACACAAGGACAACTTCTTGGAAGAGGTATTCCCTGACTAGGAGTTGGTCAAGTGAGGGAAGCCAGGGAGTGTAGCTTTGAGCAACAGTGGCTTGGAGGCCAGTGACAGCCAGGCAGCCAGCTAGTGTGTGCACTGGGAAGCTAGAGGTACAGGTCCCAGGCACTGGTCTTGGGATAATCCCAAACTTCTGAGGAGGAGTGATGCAAAGGTTCTTCTGTTTTTCAGAGCCAGTGTTAGTAAAAGCCAACTTGTGGTTTTGAGACATTTATAAACCTGGCTCCAAGAGCACGTGGGGAGACTATGAATCTAATGTGGTTTCTGTTCTCAGTGATGGTGCGGAGCTGTGAGCCAGTGGTGTGGGTGTCCTTTAAATTCCAGCTTGGTTCATATTTAACGAACTTGGCTGACTGGTAAAAATGTTTTCAGGTTTAGCTCAGAAACATGTCAAAATAAACCTGACTCTGACTCCAGTTCATAATGAATGTTGATTTTAAGGAAATGCTTTAAAATGCACTGATGTCCATGTTGTGGTTCATAAAGAAACAAAGTAGCACTGCGAGGCCAAAGCATATTTCAGCTCAATAATAAGGCTTTCTTAGAGTGACTCCCATTTAGTAAGCCTTGCCTTTGCCTCCAGATTTGAAGAGTAGTCTGAAAGTGGAAGGAGAGAGGAAAGAATGCCAGTCTTGAGGGGGTGTGAGAAGTCGGGGCCCCAGGTAACACTGTAATGAATTCCAGTGGCTGGTTGACAGTCATCCCAGTACCGAGAACGGGAACATGTTTACTAGATGTCTGGAGTGTGCCTCTGTAATCCTGGTGCTCACCTAATCCTGGTAATCCTCCAGCGCTAGACTCACACAGGATTGTTGATGAGAATGCAGATCCCAATATTGCAATTCAGTGCTTGTGCTGAAATGGTTTTGTAAGTTTTTTTCTTTATGGGTTTCTCCATTCCTCAGTGTTTAATAGCATTGCTCTGTCCCAAAGTGGGTATGTGGAACCTTGCAGGTTGCAGTTTATAAAATGGAAATAGGTATTGCTGTTTTGTTTTTGTAGAAGTCATACATTTAGAAAGAATATGGGCAGTATGGATTTTTGGCTGGCTCAGTCAGCAGAGCACGCAACTCTGGATCTCAGGGTTGTGAGTTCAAGCCCCACATTGGGCACAGAGCTTACTTTAAAAAAAAAAAAAAAAGAATATGGGCAGTATGGATTTTTGGCTGGCTCAGTCAGCAGAGCACGCAACTCTGGATCTCAGGGTTGTGAGTTCAAGCCCCACATTGGGCACAGAGCTTACTTTAAAAAAAAAAAAAAAAGAATATGGGCAGTATGGAAATGGTTTTTAAAAACAGGTAAGAAGAAAAGGAAATTTACAGTCCCATTACCCAGAGCTAACCATCGTCAACACTATGGGGTATATTCTGCCTGACATTGTTTGTACAGCCATGTGCTTTTCAGCCAAGATGGATTCACAGTATGTGTACTACGGTGAAACTTGCTCTTGTCACTTAATACGTTGAATAGCACTGTTTTAGTTTTGAAGTACAATATATACAGCGAAGTACACGCATCATCATTGTAAACAGCACCCAGTTCGGGATTCAGCTTATTAACAGTACCCCAGAAACCCCTCCATAACTCCCTTCCAGTATCCCCTTGCCCCTCAGGGGTAGCTACTATCCTGGCTTTTGCTTTTTGTTGTTCTTTATATAAATTGATTTATACACTATATATTCTTTTTGTGCTTAGCTTTGCTCAACGTTGTTTGTGGGATTAGTTCATATTGTTGCATTTGGCTGTGAACTGTTTTCGTTGCAACGTAATATTCCATTGTGTTAATAGCCCACAGTTTAGCCATTCTACCGTTGGTGCCATATTCAGGTAATTTCTACCTTTTGGCTGGCAATCATGCTAGCACTGTTTTTTCCTCTGCAAGAGAAGCCAGAGCTGCAGTAGGTGAGAGGAACACTGATTTACACCTCTTGAGGACTTGGAGTGTGGTAAAAGATGGTAGTGCCCAACTATGGTGCCACCCCACACCAGCGTGCTACTGCACGTAGTTTGCTACTGACCATGAAATACTAGAAAACCCTGATGTACTATAGATGTAGACAGAGAGAGAGGTATAGATTAGAGCAGACAGAGGGTTAATCCTCCCCTGTGCCTGCTCCCCCCACCACCCTCCCAGTAGGGGCACTAGGGTAGTTCTTGCCCTGCAAACCAGTGTTCAGGATGTGGCCTTGGTGTCCTTGTTCCTTCCCCTCGTGGCGAAACCCCCACGTACTTTGTTGAGGCTCATGTGATCCTCTCACCCTCCTGGTTATGATCAACTAATCATCTCATTACTACCCATTCTCTTAAAAAGTCTGATGCCTGCCTTTCTCTTCCTCCACACTTCCATTCTTCCGAGTGTCCAGCTTCTGTGTTGTTTACCCATCTGCATTGAGAGACCCCAGGATAATCCTAATAAAGGCTATGATTTCTTACAGCTAAAGGATACAAAGTTACCAAAGGGAAAAGATAGAGGGGCAACATCTGGAGGAAACCAGGCTCAAACTTTCTGAGGGGACTTTGAAGTGGAACCACACAGGATGTACTCATTCCCCCAGCAACAAGTTGTTACATGTGTGGAATGTTGTCTACCAGGGAAGCTCATTCAAGACTTAGTGCCCAGGGTTTTGGTTGGGGGCTGGCTATGTAGGCACCGTCTGCCTGGCACATCCCCAGATCCCAGAGTTCCAGAAGTAAAGCACAATTAAACCATATTGATTGTACAAACAATTCAGGCACAGTGGGCCACTCTTACAGGTCTGGGAGTGGTAGAAACCCTCCTGAAATCCAAGTTTCCAGATAGCAGCCAAGGACCAAACTTGTAAGCAGAAATTATAAAGGATAGCAGTCAGGCCTAGTATGTTAACTCTTCTGGGCCCATCCCACACCCTGGTTCCTGTTCCTTGTCCTGTGACCTTTTCCTCTCACCCTCCATCTCCTACCCAGAGGTGTGGACACACCTGGACCCTGCACATCAAGATCAATCACATCACTTCTGAATCATGGATTTAGACACCCCACACTGATCTTCCAACTGGCTTACACAAGAAATAACTCTAGGGGCACCTGACTGACTCAGTTGGTGGAGCATGTGACTCTCGATCTCCGGGTTGTGACTTCGAGC